CGACCACCTCCAGCGCAGACATTGGGCGACGGCCGCTGCGCGCGAGGACGGGTCGCCCCTCGCCGCCGGAGCATACCTCGCCGCCATTCGGATGGAGCAGAGGCGCTTCCTTGTCCGAGGAGAAGCATCGCCATGGGCGTTGAATAATCTTGTCGTCGCAGGGACCCTGCAGAGTGGCTCCGCGGCGCGCCAGGCCTCTCCCCCACACCTCCCTCCTTCTCTCCGCGGGGCGGGGGCGGCTGGGGCGCCCGTCGAGGCCCCGCCGCCGGCCGCCTCTTTCTTTTGGGGGGCGGCTCTGGAGGAGCCTCCTCGGACGGCCCCGGGAGGCGCGGGCGCGGGCGGCCCGCGGCGGCCGAGATCCCCGACGGCAGAGCGGCCCACCGACCGGCCACATTGGATCCGATGGGCCCTCGAAGGGCAAGCGGCGGACAGCGCCACGCTCCGAGTCGACGGTCGCTTGCGTTGCTGACTGAGAAAGCCCGGGGCCTCTGACGCCCGCCACCGACCGCGGGCCCTTCCTTCTTGAAGGGCCGGGGCAAAGGTGGGTTCGGAGGCCCTCTGGAGCTCGGACTGGGCGGCCCAAGAACTGGGACCTCTGGGCGCGGCTTCGCAGGGCCCTGGAGCAAGCGCGCGGACGCGGCGCGGCCAAGCTCTGGACCCCCTCGCGCCAGGATAGGTCGCCGGGCCAGATTGCCGACCCTTTCCTCGCCCGCGGCGACGTTGTCGCCGACGCGCGGGCCGCCAGAGGAGCCGCCGAGAATTTTGAGGTCAGCCTGCGAACCCGCCCCTTTTCACGGACACGCGGGACTCCATTGCCAACCTCGCCCGCGCTCGGGCGAGGGCCATAATTCGCAGCATCGGTTTGTTATGACAAGGTTTTGCGCGGAGAGAGGGGGGTGTCCAGAGGGCCGCCGCGCCTTCAACCCGCCCCCTCTGTCTCCCGGCCCCCACCCACCGCTTTGAAAAGTGCGCCGACAAGTGGAAGTGTGAGCTATGTGATATTCCCGTTGATGATTGCAGGTTGGGCGCCACTGCGCCCACCCCCTGCCCTGGCCCACCCGCCACTCCCCGGCGCCCTTCCGCCGAGAGAAGCCTCTTCGTTCCGGGGGGGGCGCGGCGGCGGAGGCGCGGGGGGGCTTCGTGGCCAGGCGGCCCTTGAATCCCACGAGCTCGGCGAGATCCCACGTCGGCACGCTTTGTTTTACGCGACCTGCGGTTATCACGGCACGCGCAACGTTGCGAATGTGCTCAGGCCTCGCGGCGAGTCGCCCCCTGCGGGAAGAGAGGCCCTCGCCCGCTCGGCCCAGGGTCTGCATCCTCCCCACAGAGGGGCCTTCGAGAGCAGCGTCGGAGGCGCCGCTAATTAGTTGGATGCCGCCCAGAGCGCCCGCGCGCGCGCTGGCCCGTTTCCAGTCTGAGGAGCCTTTGGAAGGGGGGCGGGGGCGCGAGGATGGAAGGGGGGGGAGGGAGCGCGCCGCGCTCCCCGCCGCGACTTCGGCGCCGTCTGCTCCAGCGCCCCCCGCGGCGGCGGCCAGGCGGGCCCAGCCCCTCGGACTAGGGGCCCCCTTTTTCCTCGCCCTCCTCCACGCAGCCCTGCCTCCGCGGTCGCCCGCGGCCCAGCCGCGACCACGATCGAGGGCCAGCTCCGCTCGGGGAACCTCGGCGTGGGCGCACCTGGGTCCCTGCGCCCTGGCCCTGGCCCTGGCCGCGCATCCTCGGGCGCGCGTCGGCTGCAGTAGGGGGCCACATGCAAACCCTACCCCTACCCCCCACGGCTTCTGCGGGGGAGGGTGGGGTTCACTTCGCTCGGGAGCTCCCAAGCGAAGGGAGTCCCACCCTCCCCGCAGAAATCCTGGGGGGCAGGGGTAGGGTTCGCACGCGGTCCCCTATGCAGGGCCCGCGGGGCCCAGGAGGGGCCACGGTCTCTTTTGAGCCGGCGGCGCGGAGGGTCCTCAGGCGAGGGCAGCAGATGGAAGGGCGAACTGCGACCGAGCATAGTCGACAGCGCGGCGTGCACATCTCGCACTTTGCAGCGCGCAATGGCGACGGGTGGGTGAGAAGCGCTGCATGTCCAAAAGCACACGCAGCGGCATGAGAAAAAGGAGAACCATTACTCGAGTCAAAGCGAACGGAAACGCGACAGCCCGAGGCTAATTGTGGACAGTGAATCATCGGAGCGGCGTTGGACAGTCCCTCACCCCCGACGTCGCGAATTGTTCCACAACGCCGACCCCCAGATGTCTGGACTCTGGACTCCTTCCCCGGGACCGGCGTTTCATCCTGAGTCGTTTTTTGATGGTCCGAAAGCCCGGCGAGGGCCTCCAGAGGCTGAAAGTAGCGAGACATCTCCCGTCGAGATGTGTTCACAACGCGAGGGGCTTCGGGGTGGGCAACGGTCTCACGCGCCGCAGACCCCAAGGGGTCGGCGGACTCCCGCCGCCGCGAGGGCGCGTGGGCAGGAGGCCCTTTTTACTATGTCGGGCGTGTACCCCTACAGAGGGATTTTCACCGAAAAATGGAAAATACAATAAAAATACACCAAAAATGCCGAAAGATGGTCAAAAAATAGTCCCCAAACTATTTGTGGATTATGTTTGGGGTATTTGTTTTATTTTTCGTCGAAAATCCCCTTGTAGGGGGACAGGCCCGACTTAATTTCTTTATCATAGCAGGAGGCCCCGGGGGCCCGCGCAGAGGGCGCCCCGAGAGGGCGGAGCGGCATCTTCGCCGACGGCGCCCGCGCCAGGGGCGACCTCCGCCCTGGCCTCACCCCATGGTTTTCCTGGTATCGCTTAAGTCGGGCTTGTCCCCCTACAAGGGGGATGTTCGACGAAAAATAAAAAATACCCCAAAAGGCCAGAAAATATTTCAAAAATAGTCCCCGGACTATTTTTGAATGATTTTGGGAACATTTTGGCACCATTCTGTGGGGTCCGAGCAGGCGTGGTCGGAGGATAACGCCACGTCGGCGATGCGTCGGCGATGTGGAGCCCGAGTTTCGGGCCGGACGAAAGGGGGGGATTGGGAAATGGGGAGTTACGAAATTTGCTGCATGCAGCTGGTTTCGGCCTCACCGAGGGGCCCATTCCTCGATACATAGCCGCCTCCGGCGCAGGGAGGCGCCAGGAAAATCAGCTACCTGAGCTGATTCTCAAACCCCCCCTTTGCTATCCCCCCTTTCGCCCAACCCGAAATGCATCGGCGATGCAGCGCGCTCGTCCGAACCAACCTGCTCGGTCCTCAACTGAGTGACGCAAAAAAGAACGGGATCGTCTGCGCCGACAGTGCGCACGGTCGCGCGCAAGCGCCCTCGCTTCCCATGTGGCGTGCCGCGCGGGCGGCCCGCGGACGCCGCCGCGCAAGGTCGCTGAGTCATCTCGCGTAAGACCTGTTTTGGATCGTCGCTCACCTGGGATGGCCTCTAATGCTCAGTCGGGCGCGTCATTCTACAGGAGCAGAAGAAAACAGATTTGACAAAAAAGTGCGCGGACGATGCTTGCTTTGGACCATGTGGGGGCCTTGTTTGACTTTGTTTTTGTCGTCCAAAACCCTCCTGTAGGCCGACGTGCCCGACCTAACTCTAGTGTCGGGGGAACGTAAGACTCGAGTAAGCCGGAACTCGGGATTGCCGACGTTGTTTGACGAGCGCGTCCTGGATTTTGACGGTCCCGTTTTCGTGGGATGTTTACAGCGGGAGCTCGCGTCAAATTTCAGCTTGGGCCTCGTCATTTTTGTTATGGCCCCGTCAGGCCAACCCGAGTCCCCCGTACCCGAGTCTTACGTCCCCCCGATACCCATCGGTCGTTGAAAGTAGGTCTTTTTGGATTCCCAGATTTTAGTCTACTTTCAGCGCCTTCCTACTTCAAGAGTCGAGTGGTTTTCCCTCTTCCTTCCTCTTCAGGAGGCGGGCGGAAACCCAATCTATTTCCAACGCTTTCCTACTTTATGTTTCTACCTACTTCTTCCGACCGATGGGTACCCGAGTCTTACGTCCCCCCGATAGTGGTGCGGCGCTGCGTTTTCCAGCCCGCCGCTGGTCGCGGGCAGCAGGCGCTGCGCTCCGCGGGAGAGCGGAGCCCCGGACCGCCGCGGCCGCGCACGCCCTCGCCGGAGCTGCGGCGGCGCGCCCCGCCCCGCGGCTGGCTGGCCAAACCCACCCCCGGGTCGGGGTCGGCCTGGAGCCTGGCATCGCTCGGACGTGTGCATGTTTTCCTTCGGCGAGGACCATCGAGGAGCATCCTCGATCATTTGGAAAAACCACGCACGGAACCGAAAAAGGCACAGGGAACGGACGTCCGAGCGATGGCCAGACAGGGGGGTGATGACAAAGTGGAGTCGTGGACATCGGGGGGGGGGGCATGATATTTCCCCAGGGCTCATGGCGCCTCCTACATGCCCTGCCCACCCCCTGGGCCGCGCACGTGCCGCAGGGCCACGAGCTGCGCACCCCCCTCTTTGGGCGCTCCCGACCAGGGGCAAAGGGGCGATCTGAGGAAACGGGTATGGAAGGCTGATCTTCTCACCTCGGCGGCGAGCGAGGTGGAACTGAGTAGAAGACCTTCTCAGAAGGCGGCTGGACTTGTCGGAGGCCCTCGCGCCATCTGAGAAGGCTCCTTCCATCTCCCTTCCCTTCCGCTCTTTCGTTTTGACTGTTCCTCTCTCTCTCTCTATTGCACGCCCTCAGGGTCAAAAGGTACGCACATGGAGGTACGTTTGCACGTCAGCATCTGAGGTCTTCGCTGGCCAGTGCCCCATACGTTGGCCATTGCCCCCCTCTGTTGACCACTGCCTCACTCCAACGGACATTCGGCACCCTGACCGTCCTGAAATGTGGATCGGCCGCCCTTTGGACACACACACACACACACACACACACACACACACACACACGCACGCACACACGCACGCAAGCACACAAACAACGCGTGAACCGCGCACGGGCGATAATAAAGCCTACCCCCCTACCCCCCCTCTATTTTGATGTTATCCCCGTTCAACAGGATGTAACGTTGGAGATAGTAGCGGAGGCCGAACTTTCTAATCCACCTGGGAAGTTGCGCATCGAAGCTGCTATCATCTCATGTTGACTCGCAACAGCATCAAAAACGCGGAGCATGGCCATGGTGGACTCACCACATCAGTTTCCGCAATCACGAGCGTGTGGCAGGGCTGTGGGGTTCTCACCAGTTCAGTTTGCCCAAGATACGAACTTGCGGCAGGGCCATGGGATTCTCACGTTCTCAGCCGTTCCCGAGTCAGGATCACCATCATCATGATGAGCATCGCCATCATCATCCCAACGTACCGTCCCCGGGAAAATAAATTATTATCCCCGCCAGACCCCCGAATGTTAGTATCCCCCGGTGATTAGTATCGCCCGCACAGGGTTATCTTGAACATCATTAGTCGTCGTTCAGACGTGCAGATCGTGTGTGTCTGCTCTTTGCGCGCATTTCTTCGCGGATCCACTCGCGCCATGCAAACCGTTGAGTGGAGTTGTTAGGATCGCGTATGTTTGCTAATCTTGCGGAGAGCACGCAAAAGTGTCTTAGTGTGCAGAGGGCCAGCCAGCCGCGGACCCAAGCCGAACGGCTTCGTAGACTGTTTCGATTATTCTGCTGGTCCGCCAATGCACCATGAGTCCGATCAGCTGCTCGCTCCTCCGCGGCCCCCACCCAAGGATGGAGGAAAGGATCGGGACTGACTCACCCCTCCCCCTCCTCTGCCTTCCACCCTCCTTTCGGCGGCGAGCGGGGGGGCAGTGAGAAGGAGAAGGCCTTCTCAGAAGACGGCGGGGCTTCCCAGAAGCCCTCGCGCCTTCTGATAAGTGTTATGCGTCTCCGCCTTCCACTCCTTCCACCCCTCGAAGAACACGCACAAACAAAAAACGGTTCGGGCTCAGCGCGGAGATCCAAAAGTGTAGTCGTATGCCGCCAGTTGTTCTCTAATCCCCCTTCCTTCCCTTCCCGCGGAGACGGGGGCGACGACGACGACGACGCCGAGACCAACGCCCACGCCGCTGGGGTAGACGAAAGGGGGGAGGGAGGAGGAGGAGGAGGAGGCGGAGGAATCGGAGGAGGAGGAGGAGGAGGAGGAGGAAGAGGGGGAGTAGGCTCAGGGGGGGGGGCGCCCCCACCCCCTATCGCCCATTCATCGCCGAGGGGGCCCGATGGCCCACACTGCCCAGGAACGCGCGGTCCCGCTCTCGGAAGCCAGTCGCCGATCTGTCTGCGATGCACCACCAGTTCCAGGTAAGATGCCTCCCCGCCTGAGTCGATACCCTGGAAAGCAGAGCATTGACAGCGCGAGTACCAAATCTGCAAGTGGCCTGGGAGCCCCCGCGCCATGCCCACGAGCGTTGTTCCTCCCCGGCGGGTGTGGGCAGGGGACGCGCTAAGTGCACCCCGCACAGGGCAATACCACTCGTCGCCGCCAAGGCGCCGCAAGGCCGAAAGCGAGAGTCGATCCCCCCAGTTCGTCGCCGCTCACAGGTGCAGAGTGGCGTCGAGGACTCCTGGGGCCTGGCCGAGGCGGCGGGTCCCTGGGCGGTGGCGGGGTTGGCGGTCCCAGCTGCCCACAAGTACGGGGGAGCACATCCCAGGAGGGGGAAAACACACGGATACGATGAATCGTCGATTCCGGGGAAGATACAGTCGGCCCGGATTAGTAGGTCGACCTTGCCAGATCAAGGGTACCCTTGTGTCTTGTGCCTCGCGAGACGTACCTTCTCACACTCCAATGGCGATGTGGCCCTCGGAACGGGTCTCGTGTCCTCTCGCGTGTCCTGTCCACTCGAGCCCGACTGTGTGGGAAAGCACGTATGGAAACTGTGGGGGAAGACGAAGATCCAGAAGATCGGATTCAGATCTGGGGAATGCTGGGCTGTGTGCGTATTTCTTTGCGCGTGTCCTCGAGCCTCTTCGATGTCCGCTCTCTCCCCCACGAGCGCGCCGCCGCCCCTCCTCACCACCGAGCAGGGTCCTGTGGGAAGCGGGTCCTTGGGACCCTGGGGAGCCCCCCCTGCGAGAAGGAAGGAGGAGGAGGAGGGAGGAGGAGGAGCAGGAGGAGGAAGACCAGAGACCGCAACCATGTTGGCTCAGGTCCGCAGCGTTTTGCACGAGGGCAAGAGCTGTTGTGGCAAGGGGATTTCGCGGCCCCACCAGCTTGGCACCCCTGCGGGTGCGCTATCACAGATTCGGTAGTGCAGCTCTCGCTCTTACCGGTGCGCTCCGATAGATTGTTTTCTTTCACTGAACGTGCCCTGACAAGAGGTGCGGCTACAAAAGGAGTTTCTCGTGGAGGGCCACACGTCGTGTGAGCATACAGGCACCCCATGGAGTCCCCACACCCAAACCAGCAGGAGGCGCGCGGGGTGGTTGGGCCGACGGGCTACCCCCGCGCGACGCTCTGACCAAAGGCAACGGAGTGCAGGTCACCGACGTTCTCGTTGTCATCCATGCTCGCATGTCCGATTCAAGTCCCTCTCGTTTTCGCTCGGTCTCTCCGCCGAGCAGGTTGCCCGTGTTGTTAGCAAGAGAGCAGTCGACTCGGGTGCGCCAGAGCCCACTGCACGCGCCGCCCGCCAAAACACCGATGCCTTGCGCCAGCGTGCCAGCCAGGCCCGGGCCAATCTCGACAAGGCCCAGGCCGCTGCCGCGCAGGCCACGGCGCACATGGAGGAGTGCAAGCAGAACCTCGACCGCCTCAAGCTCGAGGCCGACGCCGCCGCTGCCAAGGCCGCCGCGGCCTACAGCGCCATGGCCTCGCAGGGTGGGGGCATATCCGCCGCCGTGGCCGCCCAGCTCGAGGGCCCAGCTCGAGGGGCTCGTGCAGGCAGCCGCGCAACGCGCGGGCCCCCCCCCCCGCCCGCGGACCCCGCGTCTGATGGTGCAGAGGGGGACCGGCATGGCAGAGCTTCCCAATCAGAGTTTCTGCGATGCCGACGCGCGTGTCAGTATACTGCACACATATGTCCTGCAGCCAGGTTTGTTGTTGATGGGCCAACGTCTACCTCCACGATTCGCAGGGCTTCTCGTCGCAGAATTAGAAGTTGCTGACCATGTTGGGTGGCATTTTACATCGATGCAGCATGCCATGTGTTGTCTCGGGCGAGTGGAACATGACGCCCGAGGAAGCTCAAGGCCCAGGCTGGGCGGACACGCTCGGCGCAGTGCGTTCGGCCCCCACTGCTGCCACCTGTAACCAGGGCGCCGTGCACACGCTAGATTGTATGGATGCATCGAATGGCTTGCACCACGGAGCTCAAGCGCGCACCTTCGTTGCAGTTGGGGCCAAGGACCACGGGCCCGTCCAGACCGCGCTCAAGGGCGCCAGCGCATCTCTTCGTCTTTCCCACGTGAAAGTACCCAGGCAGTTTCCACAGCGAAGGCCTGACGGATGCTATCTGCCGTCCAATCGTCGGCAAGCAGTTCGCAAGCTGGTCGCAGGGTCGGCCGACGCGGATGAAGCCTGGCAGGGCTTCGTCACTGCATTGGAGCAGGAGTTCCTCGAGATCTACCAGATCCCCGAGCAGGGGCGGAGTAGCTGCATCGGTCGCGCAGTGGATTTGCGCGTGCGAAAGCGCGAAGCGCCGCCAGTCAAGCAACCCCTGTACCCGCGTACCTCGATTGTCGCCTCCTGGTTTCGCGCGCCCAGTCAAGCCCCCGAGGAGCTCTCCCGCCCTCGGAGGCCCGCTGACCGCGAAGCCACCCTCAGCGCGCGCCGGCAGCTGCTTCGGCCCTCGGGGCCCCCACCGCCAGCCCTTGCGGGGCCTCGGCGCGCCCCCGCGGAGGCGGCTGCCGACCTGGATCGCGCCGCAGCTGATCATTTGCAGACGCAAGCCGAGCTGCGCAGAGACCGAGAATGGAGAGAGTGGGTCAGCAGTCGCAGCAGCATTGGCAGAAATGCGTTCTACCCTTTACCCAAGCCAGTTGTTCCCTGGCACTCCAGACCCGCCATTCAAGTGGATGGCGCAGCCGTTGCGCCGCCCGCCTCGCAGGAGCAGGAGATGCAACTTCTGTCATAGGAGTGGAGTCGGCACCGGCGCGCGGGGGAGTTGGAGGACCGCGCGCAGTGGCCCGCGGACATGGGTTCGCCACTGCCAGACTTCAGTCTCGGGGCGCTGCAGGAGCGTCTCCGATCCATCAGGCCCCCCAGGGGCACGGGCTTCGATCAGATCTGCCCTCGGCAGCTCGACGAACTTTCAGGTGAATGGCTCGGGTGCCCGAGGCTGCTCATTTTGCGCATCGAGAGCGCGTTCACCTGGCCTCAGACACGGTCCAATGTTGTTTTTGGGTCGGATGAAGCGCTCTGGAGGATTGCGCCCCATTGCGCTGCCCCACGTTTGCGCGCGCGCCCGGGGACGTCTCCGCCGCCCCTCGCCCCAGAAGTGGCAGCAAGAGAATGTCTGCGAGTTCCGGCGGTTCACGTCGGGCAGGGGGCCCGCTGCCAGCACGGACTTCTTCGGCCTCCAAAAGGCCTTCGAGATTCCACGCCATGGCGCCCTACCGAAATCAGCGAGGCGCTCCAGCATCCCGCCGCGGCAGCAGAGGCCGCTCATCTTGCTGCACGGAGCACTGCGAGTCTTGGAATTCGCAGGCGCGAACCCTACGCCCAGTCTCATTCAGCAGGCAGCGCTCGCAGGAGGTCAGTTCGCCGCCCCCCTCCTGCAAATGGTCGCACCCCCCCCCCGCCGGACGCCGCGCAGGCCGCGCTGCCCAGGCAAACGGAGAGGAAAGTTCAGTTAGGCGCCGTAGTCGACGACTACGGGCTGCGCGAGGTCGACACCGAACAGCGCGTTTGCCGAGGCCGCCATCACGCAGCACGATGAGCTAGATAACGCCCACCTGCCAGTCAGCCGCCCAAAGAGTCGCATTCTTGCATCCGCGCGCGAAGCCGCGGCCGAGGCTTGCCACCGCGTCCGCCCTCGCCGGGCCCCGGCCGCCCAATCCGAGCGGAACCTCGGCATTGACATCGCGGCTGGTGGCGCCATTCACATGGCCGCCAAGCGCAGCAGACGCACTGCCGCTGTCGCGCGCCAGGCCAAGATGGCCTCACTCGCGAGCACGCTGCGCAAGCGTCAGGCGCACAACGCGGCCCGAGCTACCGCCCACGCCCCCGCCTCCCACGGGCCGGGGGCGACGGGCACCTCGGGGGCGGAGCTGCGCGAAACGCGCCTCTTGCAGGCCAGCGATCAAGCTCAGAAGCTTTCCAGGCGCAGTGTCGCGTTTCGATTGCATCTGACTGGCATGAAAAAAGTCGGCCCCGCCTGCGCTCTCAGCGCGGCCCTCCTGCTGCAGCTCACCTCCGCGGCGCGGGAGTCTCGGGCGCCCGGGGGCGCCCTTGTCACGGGGACCGATGGGGCCCGGCGAGCGCAGGAGGGGCACCTCTCGCCATGCTAGGCCACCAGAGGACCCTCTCCAGTTGCGCGGCGTCCGCTCGCAGGCCTGGCATCGACATGAACGGTTTGGGCTGGTCGCGCCCGCTCGTTGGAGCTTTTTCGCCAGCAGAAGCTTGCCCTCGAGCTATCGCTCGGCATCTTGCTCAGATAGTTGAGCAGCGGCGCCGGCAGCGCGCGACCGCGCATCTCGAGCAGCCTGAGTTCGAGAGCGGGCCCATGTTCGCGCCAGCAATGCCTGAAATAGAGGGAACTCACAACAACAACAACAACAGCAACAGCAACAGCAACAGCAACAACAACAAACGCTCAAGAAAGAGCTCGAAACTGACGAGAGGGCCAGCGGAGGGACGTGGCCTCAAGCCAGGCAAGCCGCGCCGCAACTGTTTGACATCGGCGAGTGCCGGGCTTGCCACGGGCACCTCTCCTGCCCAGGTCACGCGGCTGTCTTCCAGAGCCCCCGGGAGTAGTTGCCAGCATGGCCAGGAACCTCGGCCACCCCTCCGCCCGTCTGATCGCAGAGCGGCCGCTGGCGCCGATGCCTGCCTCCCCTCGCCCACCCCCCCACCCCCCGCGCCCCTGAAGAGTTCCGACTTGAAGGCGGCCCTGGGCCCCTCGATGGGGGGCATTTTTCTTGGCGGCAGCCTACTGGACAGTGAGTTCCCCCCCCCCCTGGCCCAAAGCATCGGATGGGCAATTTTTTCGCTGCGCGAGACTCAGAGCGCCCCTGTCTGCGTCGTGGCTGGAGGCATCAGAGCGGGGCCGCATGATTTTGACCTTGCCGAGCTCTGGACTTCGATTCTCGCGCTGCGGGCTGCCCTCCCTGACGTCACCCTCTGGACTGATTCCAAGATCGTTCTTTGCTGCATCTTCAAAGGGGGGCGTTCGCACCGCACCTCTGCCAAGGCGGCGCGGGCCGACCTCTGGACCCAGGTGCGGGCTGCCTTCGATGATCGAGGCGGGTTTGAGTCGCGTCGACCATACAAGGTCAAAGCCCGCACCTCTGCCGCCGACGTCGAGCAGAGGGGCGGGCCACCTCGCGACAGCTCGATGGTAACTCGCTCGACGACAGAATGGCAAAGGAGGCCGCCGCTTCCTTGGGCCCTGGAGCGCCGTCGCGCGTGTTTCCGCTCCCAGGCCAGAGCGCGGCCTTTTCTCACTGCCTGATTGGCTGCAAGATGGCCGACGTCGACTGCTTGCACATTCCAGCCAAAGCTCGCGGCGCTCTCAAGGAGGCCAAGGTTCAGCGCACCGTCTTGCCAATCCCCACGGTCGCGCCGCCCGCGATTCCCAGGGCCGACGCGGCACTCGCCGCGCTCCTCCGCGATGGTCGCCGCGCGCAACGGGCGCCCCCCATCTCCCTCGTCACCCAGGCCCAGAGGCTAGTCTGCGCCGTCTGCGGTGCGGGCCCGGTCAGTCTCTCTGCCGCCCTCAGAAGGCCGCGCAGCGGCAAGCCTGCCGCTTGGGGCGCGCAGGCGCTTGAGGCGCTCGCCGACGGGAGGTGCCTCCTGCGCAAAACTAGGTGTCCTTGTCTGAGCCCTCGCGGCTTCGACGCCTCGTCAAGAGCGGCCAGGCTCTCCGGCCCCTGCGATTTGTCCCTGGGCAAGTTCACGTGGGCCACATGCCCCAGGTCCCAGGTTCATGTCCTATTTTGGCGCTCGCACTTGCTTGCATTTGCCATGCGGCACGCATTCGCACCCGCGTCTCGCGCGGTTCCTAGTTGCGGGGCCAGATGCCCCAGCCCGCAGGAATGCGCGGTTCGGGCGCCCGCCCGCGGAGCCACGGCTCGCGCGCGGCGCTGCGATCGGCCACCCGTCGCGGCGCCCCGCGCATGTCCGTTCGGCTCGCGCGCGGCGCTGCGCCCAAACACCCGCCCGCTGAGCTGCGGCTCGCGCGCGGCGCTGCGCTCGCCCACCCGCCCGCGGAGCCCATCTTGCTGGTCGCAGCGGGCAATCGGCCCATTGCCGCAGCTGCCCCAAGCATGGCCCCGATGACTCTGTCCCTGCGGGGAGAGGACTTCCGGCGCGAATGCATTGGCGCTCGCGTTTGCTTGGTTGGTCTGGGCCCTTGTCTGACCCCTGGCGGCCTCGGCCTCGACGCCGCGTTGAGAGTGGCCGGACTCTTCGGCCCCTGCGATGCGTTTTCTAAGGGGGCCTGTCGCTGGCCAACGCCCAGGCAGCGGCAAAAAGTCCCCCCCCAGATGGGCCCCCCCTGCGTTTTCCGGCAAGTCGGGGGGGGGGGGGGGCTTCGCCCCTTCCTTTTTTGGCTCTGCGCCGAGGAGGAGGACAAGTGCAAACAATTAGCCCTCCCTCCAAGCTCTCTCTTCATAGGCCCCTACATCGGTTCATCCACCGAGGGAACTGCCTCGTTGGAAGACACAGTCTGAAGACCCTGAAGCATGCCAAAACAGTGTTCTCGGGATTCCAACGCCACGGATCAATGTGACAGCTGCGTCTTGACAATCCTGAACCGTGCCAGAACGCCACTCCTGGGACTTCAACACCGCGAATAAACGTACGTGTTGCGTCCTCGTAATCCGGCACCCATCCAGAACATCGTGTCCGGTACGCTGACCAAAACGAATGCGCGCGGCGTTGAGGCAAGAACCACATTTTGAAAAAGAACCGCCGTCAATCCGCGAAATTCTTGCAGTTTGTTAAACGAATGCGCGCGACGTTAAAGCGAGAGCCACATTTTCAATGCGGGCCGCCTTCAGTGCGTGAAGATACTGCAATGTCTCAAAACGAATGTGCGCTGCTTCGGGGTGCGACAGTGAGAAGTTGTGTATGAGGAGAAGGAATGAGGAGGAAGAGGAGGAGGAGAAGGAATGGAGGAGGAAGAGGAGGAAAAGGAGGAGGAGGAGGAGACCAGCTTTTCATCCCGAGTCGTTTTCGGACCGCCCCGCGGCCCGCGGAGAGGGCCCAGGGCGGGAACAAAAAACCGGCGTGAGATTTTTTGCACGGCCCGTGTCCCTTCGGGACCCGCTCGCCCTGCGGCGATCCTCCCGCCAACCCCCGGGACCCGCTTCTGCTCCCGAGCCTTTCTCTTACCAGCCTGGAAAACTATTATCCCTATGCTGGGCATCTCCTCAGCACGATGCCAACCTTAGGGGGTTCCTTATTTTTTAAAGGCGAACCCCTAAGACTGTCATCGCCTCTTGGCGTGTCAATCTTAGGGACAGACAGGGATACGTTCGAGGCTGGTAATTCTCCCATTGACGGACCCCAAGGGCCCTGGCAAGGGCCCCCGGAGGCCGAAGAAATCTCCCGCCCCGAAGCGCGAGGGGGTTGGGGCCCTCCCCTGGGACCTGGCGTTTTTCAATGTTGTCGAGCCGGGCGTTTCCGCCTTCTTCCTGGCCCTGGGACCCTCACAGATCGATCCGGCGCAATAGATGACGCCGAAAGATGGGGGCTTGGACTCCGCGCGTGATTGTCTACGACGTTGCAACTTGTTCGGCGCGCCGGATCTCAGGGTCCTCCCCCTTCCGCATGCCTCCGCCCCCCGCGGGGGGCCGGGCGGGCCTTCTCGCGCTCGCCCGCCGAGGCGGCCTCGGGGGGGGGCAGCGAGCCTTGGCCGCCCCCCCCCCTTCCGCCAGCCGTCGCGCACGCGCGCGCGTCTTCGCCGCCGCGGGGCCCTCGCCGCGTTCGGCCGAGCCTGCCTGTCGTCGAGGGAGGAGGAAGGAGGGGGAAGGAGGAAGAGGAGGAGGAATCGGAGGAGGAGGAGCCAGGAGCCAGAATCGAGGAGGAGGAGGAGCAGGAGGGCGGTGCAGGCGGACGCGTGAGGAGCCAGGAGCGGGATAGGGGCTCGGGCTGGGCGGGCGCTGCGAGGGCCTCTCGGCCGGCGAGGCCCCGGGGAGCGAGCGAGCGCGCCGGCGGGCCGCAGAAGTGCCCCCCCCGCCCCGCCCAGGCCGCGGCCGTCGTCGCTCCTCGTCGCCGCCGTCCTCGTCGTGCCCCTCCGCCCCTCCACACTCAGGAGGGAAAGAAACACACAAACACAATTAATCGGCGAGTCCCCAGAAAATATGGGAAAATATGGGAAGTGGGGGGGGAGACAAAAACCCAGAAAATATGGGGAATAGTTTGAATTGTGTGTATTTATTTGTGTGTCCTGGGGCCCCTTTACACACGCTCGGCGGCGCGGAGAGGTGCGGGCTCCAGCGCCACGGCGTGGGGCGGCGGCCACTGCCCCCCCTGATGGACCTGTGTTCCACCACCACCACCAGAAGTTGGAGGGGGGGAGGAGGAGGAGGAGGAGGAGGAGGAGGAGGAGGAGGAGGAGGAGGAGGAGGAGGAGGAGCAGGAGCAGGAGGAGGAGGAGGAGGAGGAGGAGCAGGAGCAGGAGGAGGAGGAGGAGGAGGAGGAGGTGGAGGACCCCCTCCCCCTCCAACTTATGGTGGTGGTGGTGGAAAACAAGCCCCTCCCCCCCACCCCCCCTTCAGCGGCCTGCGCCGCTGGGGGGGGAACGGGAGTCGAAGGAGTTCCCGGTGGGTGCGCTGCGGCCCCCCCCCCAATAGAGGGGCACGGGCGAAGTCTCCTCCCGCCCGCCCTCCGCCTTCCTATCCTTGCTCTTTGTCGGAGCAGAGGGAGGACGAAAGACAGACTGCA